CAGCCGGGCAGGAGTCTCTGCCCAGGCGTTTCGAGAAGAGGCTGAAGGGGCTGCGATCCTTAGGGCAAAGGGCAGCTCTTCCCTCTTTTCTCTTTGCAAATATAAACATCACCTTCCAAACTGTACTGCGACTCCGCTGGAAAAATCTGGAACTTTTTTTTTTTCCTGGTTGTTGTTGTTGTATTGTATTTTTTTCCAAGCAAGGGTGCCAGTGCAACTCGCCCCGTAGCGCAAAGGGACCCAGAAAGAGAGAAGAAGATAAAATGAATTTAAATTCCAAAGGGGTTTCAGTGCTGGTTTCCTAGTCCCCGAGTCAGCAATGTGTTTGTGAAAATTCAGCCTTTTTGTCTCTCAGAAAAAAGGGCTAAATCTACATCGGTGGCCCAGTCTAGGTTTGCTATTCTTTGCATTTTCTATTCAAGTGAATGAGAGTGAATGAAGTGGCCTGGGACCCTTTATTTGATCTACTCAATTGCATAAAGTGACAGAATTCTAATATATTTGTTTAATGCTCTTCAATGGGGCTTTCACTTTCTAGCTTGCAAATGAAGCCTCGATCTGCAAAGTTTTGTCCTTTTTTTCTTTCTACCTTTTTTTTTTCCTGGCAGAGAGACCATATTTCATAACTTGGGCTACGGTTTGAAGTGATTTCAAGAGGAGTTTTAGACTCGAAAAGTGGGAAATAAAGAAACAGATGTGAAGTTATTGTAAATTCTTATAGTGGGCTCTGGGGCTATTGTAAACCCACTGCAGGCGGTCCAAAGCCTCTCTTTTTCATGCTGTAATTGAAACATATTAATTAGATAATTTGTTGTTAGTTTAAAAGAAACAAATACAGCCCCTCCAAGGCTTCACAGCCTCGGTTTCTTTTTGTTAACAAAAACAAAACAAAAAAACCCACAACCAACCCACAAAGTGACATTTATATTAAGATTCCGAGATAATTCGGCACTGAAGTTGATGAAGCTGCTAAGTTTTTTCTCCCTTTCCCAAGGACCACTTTTGAAAAAAGTCTGGCTCATAAAACTCCCTCTCAGGGGTCGCCGGGGAGTTCTTTTCTCCCTACCTGGCACAGACCGCCCTTCCCTGCAAGGCGCGGTTCGAGAGAAAATAAATATTCTGAGTGAGAAGGAGCTGGCTGTCTTCAATAGAGGATTCAGTCCTGTGGGGTGGTGTCTTGTCACATGTCGAGGAGAGAGAAAACAAAACAAAACAAGACCACAAAAAAAAAAAAAAAAAAAAAAAAAAAAAAAAAAATTGAAAAAAAGGAAAAAAAGGAAAAAAAGAACCGCAGCCGAGAAAGGATTCACATACCATGCGCTGACATGAAGCAAGCCCCTGAGCCGCCAAGCCCGGCTGGGTTCTCGGGCTTACCTTGCACCGCCGGGCTCCAACCCATCCTCCGGAAGAAAAGAGCTTTTGTCTGAAATGAACGGTGTCTTTGCATTAAGTACGCCTAGCTTATAATGTCTCGCTGGCAAATAAAATATATATTAAAAAAAAATAAGAATCCCCCCGACCCCCCAGGAAATGTCCAAACAGGACGGAGGGCTCGGCCGCGGCTGCTTCCCTCGCCCCCCCATCCGCCCCTTCCCTCCGCGCTGTTTTCTGTTGCTGCTCTATTTCAGATCTGTGTTTATTGACATTGGACTTGAGCCATTAGGGAGATTTAACAAGTCAAAGCAGTAAATTCAAGCGACGCGCTGAGCCGCGTATTTGTTTGAAATCAGCATCGCAACATTTGGGGAAGCGGGCGGAGATGCGCGGAGCTGCGCGGCCGCTCCGCGGGCTGGGGGCCGCGGGAGGGAGAGGGCGCGGAGAGCAGAGGGTCCCCGGGCTGGGGCAGTCTCGGGCAATCGCAGAGATAAAGGCGAAAATGGCACTTTAAACCTACGGTGGCGAGTCACACACTCGCCTTGTGCAGCGAGAAACCTATCGCACCTTTTGAAAGTATTTTGCTTTGGGGTATGATCGTTTCAGATCTTTATCTCCGCCGTTACTATATGGTTTTAAAAAAATACTCTGAAAGTGCAGCTTCATCTTGTTAGTCGGGCTCGGATTTCATCTTTGAGGATTTGTTCTGACTGCTAGATCTTTAAGGAAAAAAGGGAAGGAGAAAAAGCTTCCTCGTTGTCTAAAAATGTAGGTCATCGCTTGTTTAGGAAAGTTTGTCGAGTTATGTGTCCATTGATCTGGTGATAAGTTTTGAATGCTTTCTTCAACTGATCGTGTTGATATAATCGTGGGTTGGACTTGATGAATGAGTTCAGTTGTCCCCCATCCGACAAGCTTTAGCAGCTTCATGCATTTTAATCAGCCCAATGATTCATGTATTTTCCACCTTTTTTCTGTGTGTGGGATCCGTTATTTTAAAAAAAAAAAAAAAAAGATCCCAACTGGATTAATTGCCCTCTACATTAATCTTAAAACTTTTGCAAGGATCTTGTGGTGTGTAGTAAGGAAATGGGGATGTCACTTACCGTGTTTATGGTCCAGAAATTCAGTGAGATCAGTCGGAGACAAAACCTCTGTAACATCATTGCCGTAGAATTCGTGAATCCTGCCGCTTCATTAGAATACAATGTCGTTTTCTTGCTAGTTAGCACTTCAGTTGTCTTGTAACTCTGCTCGCAGAATGCCTCATCTCAAAGGCATCTATTTACTCATTCACTAGATGGCTTCTCTGATTTTCAACAGTTGCAGAATCCTTGCAAAATCCCTGGCAGATTTGGGGAATCTGTGTTCAGAAGTGTTCAGAATCCAGTTTTCATTGTAAATACTTTGCCCTTACTTTTTAAAATGGACTGTATGTTGAATTACAGAAAAACTGGTACGATTGTGTTCCACTTTGCAAACTACCGGTTTGGGAAAGTGTTGATCAATAAGGATGGAGAAATTCTAGCAGTGGTTGGACTAACTTGTGCTTGAGCAGGTTTAAACGCCAGGTAAAAGGCTACAACAGCTCACTTTAACTCAAAAAAAATTTTGCAATGCCAATTGTAAAAAAAACACTACTGAAAAAAAATCAGTGTTCTCAGTCCAAAAAAAGTAACTAATTCTTTAAAGATTTTTTTATGTTTGCTCTATATTGCAGAAGGTTACTAATTTTTACACTTTTTAGAGAAAATGCAGCTGGGAGTAAGTAGGTGATGAGTATACATAGACACAGGCATGAATGTAATATGTGGTTATATTCAGTATAAGTGTATAGGGCACAAATGCAGGTGTGTGTGTATGCACAGATGTACAGATATAAATAAATGTTAGATATAAACCCCACAGAACATGTTCTCCCTTTGCTAAACTGGTGATAATGACAATTCTAGCTAAGAAGTTGTGCTATATTAATAACTATATTTATACTAACCTTGTGTGAAAAGGCTGTTTAGATTATCTAAATATTGGAATAACACCATTCCTTCATCATGAACTAGTGTTTTTACTTTTCTCGTGTTAACTCTTTAAAAAGACAAATAAGAAACTAAATCTGAATTTACATATTTTAATGAGAAAATATTATTTGGACTAGGTTCATAATTTAACGTAGACACTTTTTAACCTTTGTCTTAAAACACACATGCTGGGAACAAGAACACCAATATTTTAAATGCCATGCTTATTCTGTACAGGAAAAAAAAAGTTTAAAAGAAATGTCCTTACAGTTTCAATAGACACGAATGCTGTTTAGAGGGCGTGTTCTTTTTTTTTTTTCTCTTAACTTAAGCAGTTCACAACAGAACAACAGTTCGGTTTCCAGCAAACTACCTAAAACTAGAAAGGAGTATATCAAACAAAAGTGCATTTTACACATTTTATAATCATTCATATGCACAAACATTTACAGTTTCCCTAGCCCCCTCTCGTCTGCAAAGCTCCAGCAGAAATCAGGATGACCTCCAGAGTTTGTACCTGCTGTTGTATTACTTTTCCACATTTTATCAGTGACTTCTACAGCTTTTCTTTAAGCTATGTCGGGTCGTGTGCTTGGTAACATGTTTATTTTTATTATGATTATGGTGGTTGTTTGGTTTTAAGCTATGAAGTAAATAGCTATAAAAATTTAAAAATAACAACAACAACCAAAAAAACCAACAACAAAGAAAACCTCAGCTCCCCCAAACCTTCGGGTTAACCCGAAGTTAACAGACAAGTCAACTCCTCCTTCTCTTTCACCTGAAAACTACGGTAAACATCCACGTTACAACAGGTACTGCAAAAGGGACCTCATCTGATTTACAGTACAGATGCAAGTTCAGTATTTACATTAACACAGGCGCTTTGTAAACATGATCGGTGTGGCCGGCGGAGCGGCCGGCGCGGTTCCCCCGCGGTTCCCCCGCGGGTCCCGCTCCGCGCCGCCCCCGCCGCTCCCTCACCTGCGGCCGCTCCCGCTCGGGGCCGCTCAGCCCGCGGGGCCGCGGCCCTGCCCCGCCGAAACGCACCCAACAAAGGACACCGAGCGCTTCCCGGCATTTCCAAGATCCAAGCCTTTGCTGCTTGGAGGCTGGAAACGTCGCTGCTCTCACGCGGTGACACAGCAGCCATCCATGTTTGTGGTACTAGAGATTGGTCCTGTATAAACCCCTGCTTTTCCCCAGACAAAAGAAGGGAAAGAGACATCGCCGAGCCAGGCTTGCCTGGTCGCCGACAAATCGAGGATGCCTGAAGTACTTTTGGAAAACTAGCAATGCCAGCGGCAGCTCCTACCGGGCGGGAGGGGGCGGGCCGGGCCGGTTCCTTTCGCCTCAGAAGAACGGAAAACAAAGTTCAGAACCAGGGGAGAAACCGAGCCGCGAGGGGAGGGCTCGGCTGAAGGGGCGAGGCGGAAAGGGAGCTCGGGCGAACCGCAGATCTCAGCTTCCCGCGGGGAGGTGTCTCTGCTTTCGAGGAAAAGAGTAGAGAGGGGAAAGAAGCGAAAGGAGGGAGAGAAGGGGAGGGAGGAGAGCTCCGAGGAAACTTTGGGAGAATGGGGAAGGCAGCGTCCGTGCAGGCGGCCCGGGTCAGTGCACAGCTACGGAGTGCAGGGCGGGCGCCGGGCTGGTGAGAGTCTCGCTGGGGGTGGCCGGGCTGCTTTGGCTGGTGGCCGTCTGCGAGGACGTGGGGCTGAGGGAGGGCGGCGAGTTCGAGAGGATGGTGGGGATGGGCGCGGGCAGGGCGGGCAGGGCTGGCACCGCGGCGGGGGTAGGCTTGATGGGGACGGGGATGGCCGGCAAAGTCTGCCCCCCATGGCAGAGCGGTTTGATGGGCACGCCGTAGGCGCCGTACTCGCTGCTGGCCATGGAGATGGGGGTGGCGGTGTCGATCATGCCGGAGCTGTACATGTGGGGCCAGCCCGTGCCAATGGAGCTGCCCACCGTAGTCAATTGATTGGGGAGGGGGTAGGCGGCCGGCATGGGCTGCATCGTGGAAAAGGCGAGGCCCCCGGGCATCTTGTACTCTCTGGCGATGATGTTCTCGATGGCGAAGGGGTGCTTGAAGCTGGAGGGCTGGGACACGCCGAGATTGTACGTGGACATCTGGGGCAGGTGGGTGCCGGTGGCCGCGAGGGCGCTGAGCCGCAGCTTGGCTTGCTGCTGCAGGTACTGCGCCGCGTCCGCCGGCTTGCTGGGCGCCAGGTGGTCCGACTTGACCACCTTGAAGCGCTTGCGGCGGCGCAGGAAGCTGCCGTTCTCGAACATGTCCCCGCAGCTGGGGTGCAGCGCCCAGAAGCTGCCCTTGCCCGGCTGGTCGGGGCGGCGCGGGATCTTGATGAAGCAGTCGTTGAAGGAGAGGTTGTGGCGGAGGGAGTTCTGCCAGCGCTGAGTGTTCTCCCGGTAGTAGGGGAAGCGGTCCATGATGAACTTGTAGATCTCGCTCAGGGGCAGCATCTTCTCCGGGGAGCTCTGGATCGCCATGGCGGTCAGCGAGATGTAGGAGTAGGGAGGCTTCTGATCGCTATAAGTGTTTCTGCCCGGGCGAGGCATCTTCGCTAGGCGACCCGCGGAGATCTGCAGAAGGGCAGCGACAAGGGGAGGGGGCGGGAGGAGGGGGTAGAGAGGTGAGTCCGAGAGGATTTGCACGGACACCCAGCCGGGTCAGCCGGTGGCTCTGGGGCCAGGCTGGAGAAAGCAGGGCACGGGGAAGGGGCACGGTGGATCTCAGCCCTCGAAACGGGGGACGCGGGGCGCGGGGGTGGGGGAGTGGGGCGCAGATGAGGGCAGGAGAAAACAGCCCAGAGCTCTGTGCCGCCGCAGGGGGAAAAGCGATGTGCTTCTCCCAGCTCCGGCCTCCCTCAGCCTGGCCTTCCCGCAGGAGCCCACGTCCGTGAAGTTACTCTTGTGATAGCTCTGTCTTCTGGGCTCTGCGAGGATGAAGGGGACCCCATCCCCTCCCCTCGACTCCCACCCAACTCCATGCCAGCCCCTGCATGTGCCCACCTTAAAGTTGCTGGAAGTTGACAGTCCGCATCCGGGACGCAGCTGGGAGTCCGGACTCTTTCCCACCCGTCTCCTCCGGCGTGTCTCTCGCTCCTTCCGCGGCCACGCTGCTGCAGTTTAGTCCTGAGGAGGCAGCGAGCTGGCTTGGTTTTGGGAATCCTCCTGTACACCCCTCCCTTCGCCTTCGCGGGCTGAATCAGCTTCTTTTACACCACCGGCAGCTGCTCTGTAGCAGAGGCTTGTTTGCTTCTCTGCAGCGGCGATGAGCTAACTAGTTGCCTCCATGTCCTTCCTCTAACCATCTGATAGTTTTATGTGGTGACATGAGCAGAAAAGACCCCTGTAGAGGCGCTTCATTAATGTGCCACTTCTTTGCTATCATATGACAATCGCCTTGGGAGCAGGGGGAGGGGAGCAGGGAGGAGGGGGCTGGAGAGAAAGGCATAATCTGGTTTCATTTACACCTATTTACATGGACACCTTGGGCCAATGGGAATCATTTCCATTTGAAGACAAGGCGAGGGGTGAAAAGGCTCCGCCAGCGGAATTGCAGTGCGATGGTACCCGGTGGCTGGGGGTGGGGGGAAGGTATGCACTAACCTCTATGTGGACTTTGCAGGAAGCTTAGTCTGCAATTCACACTTACAAATGGAAGTACTGAGCAGTGGGATGTTTGACATGGAAATTGCTTGGCTGTGGTATTCTGTTTGTTCTGCATTGTTATCTGATTTGTATTATTGGCTAACTTAAGGCGACTGTTTCCCCTGTAACGAGGGACTTTCTCTTTGCCAAATCCGCTCTCCCCGAGCGAAGGTTTTTTCGAGCGGTAAGATCGGGGCTCCTCGGTAGCGCCCCGGGAAGTCAGTCCCGTCCCCCCCCCATCCTCGCAGCCCGCCCCAGCCCCTGCAGGACCGCTGCTCTGGTTCCGCGGACCTGTTGGTGTAAAGACGCGGGAGTTGCTCTCAATACCAAGCGAAGGGCTCATGAGCGGACACACGGTCCCGGTGTGCTCGGTAACCAGCTGCCTTCGCGCCGCCGCTCTGCTCGCGGGACCGGGGACTGTCCGGCCGCCCTCGAGGGCTCGGGGCTAACGGGTCCGTGCCAGCGTCACCCTGCTAAACATCGTCATCTTGACGCCTTCTGCGGGCTTTGCGTGATGTGTGTCAGACGGCTCTCCTGCCCGTGTGCTTCTCGGTGCGCACTTGTGTGTGTGGGAGCAGGCAGGACGTGGAGCAGCCGAGTTGCGGCTCGTTCTGGTGCACGGTGCTCCCTCCTCCCCGGGAGCCAAGGCCCGATCCTGCAACCGCAGCCCAGACGAGCAGCTCGCTGCCAGCCTGTGTCCGTCCTGGGGGGAGGATCAGGCCCGGAAGGTGCCAGGCTTGCCCTGGCACAGGAGGGAAGTTTGCATGATGTGTATTCCTGAGGCTGCTGTGCATCCTGTCACCCTAGAGCCAGAACTGAAGATTGTCTCGGGAGCTGCGAGCCCGGGGAGGAAGAGCCTTCGTGGTGAATACACATCAACTCCATTAACAATATTTTCGGAGTCGGTCAATAACTCACCAAAACGTAACTTAAACACGATGAATTTAGGAGATTAAACAATTTCATTAATATTGAAATGGCTGAGGCTGAGCGCGCGCGCTTGAAATGCAAGCACACGTTTTTCAATATTAACAGAAGTACTTGAAAAGAAGAATAATGTCACCTTCTTAATTCAGCAAAAATAGCCGGGCTGGGGGAGGGAGAGTGGCGGCGGCGGCTCTGTGCAGCGCGGCTGCTGACACGGGCTCTGCGAGAGCCTTGGAGTCCTCTCGGAGGGACGGTCCCCATCAAGCAGGGCTCCCTCAAACCTGGCAGGGAGCCTCAAAACGCATTTTCACATCGCGACCAGCGCCGACCTCGTGGGTGTTAAACCGTGCTCCCTTCGCCCCAGCCCGGCTGCCCTCGGTCCCATCTAATCCCTCTCTCTCGGGGCAGGATGTCGTTTAGAGAATAATAAGTAAATAATTGTGTTTCTAGGAATCCGAGAAGCAGACCGGCCCCGCTCTGCCGAGCTAAGGAGCCCTTTTGAGGGGCTAGACCTGCCACATGCTACCCTCTGCCCCTTGCAGAGAGGGCCCGGGAGTGTTTGTGCTGCTCAGAGCCCGGGAGTTGCCTTGCTCAGTTAATCGGCTCTGAGATGCTTCATCCAGCCAGGCAGGGCAGGAAGGCAGCCTCCAAATTTTTTTTTTTTTTTTTTTTTGAGGGGGTGGGGTGGTGGGTAAGAGGTGGTGGGACGATGATATTTTTTAGAGGGTAGGAAAGACAATACTCTGAAATTAAGAGGGATTCCTCCCAGCTTCCCCTAACACCGGACAGAAGGCTTCTGTTTTTGTGTTGAGAGCCCCCAAATAAGAGGGTGTAAGGGATACTTCCCTCCCACACACACCACACACCCAGCTCCCCCATCCCCAACTTCTAACACTCCCAGTTCAGGTTTTGTCTCTCGGCCCAAGTTCACTCCTGGGATGCCTATCTAAAAGACAGCTCAGAAAATCCACAAACTGACAAATACTTTTCCTCTTCTCTTTGCCGGTACCTTTTCTTTTCGAAGAAAGAAAAAAACAAACCAGCTGATGCAAAAAGGAACCCAAAGCTGTAAAGTTAAAGGAAAGTCGACTTCCGTTGTCATTTGCTACTCGGAGTGCAGACGAGGTATGGCTGTGAGGCGTCCGATGTTTTTTCCTGGTTTGTGTTTTTGGTTGTGGTTTTCTGGGGTTTTTTTTGGTTTTTTGGGGTTTTTGTTTGTTTGCTTGTTTGGTTGGTTTTTTTTTTTGTTGTTTTGGTTTGGTTTTTTGGGGTTTTGTTTGTTTGTTTTGTTTTTGGGTTTTTTTTTTTCCATTGCAAGGAATGTGCGATTGAAGGGGTAGGGCAGCCGAAGTCCTCCCAGTAATTGATACCCAAAGTTTCATCTCATGCTAAGCAAGCAACAGATGATAGACTTGGGCAATATAGCATTTAAAGGTAATTGTAGCATTTCCCTTTTACTTTGAAAGCCAACATTAGGGAGGAGGAGAAGGTGAAGTGAATCCAAATCCATTGTGTGGAAAACCAAAACAAATAGACGTTTTTCTGAAGTCTAATTCAAATAAGGGGCTCAGAGGAAGTGTTGGGAAAACTATATAAAATACACATAAGTCAATTATATCAATGTTCAAACCCAATGGAAATCTATTTCATACAAGAGCCATTCAGGCCTTGCATGGAGCCCATCATGGACCACCTTTCTGCATGGAAGGTTTGCAATAGCCCTCTTTCCCACAAGCAAGACCACACACGTTTACAGATTTGGTAATAATTTATGCTAATTTTCCTCCATAAATCCACAATTCGCCTCAGTGGCAAGCAGGGCTGTTGAGAGAGGAAAAGGAGACAGAAAAGTGACAAATACAATATTGATTTTGAATCCTTGTGGCTGCAAGCAGGTGTGTAGCTTTGCAGAGGGGAGGAGTGGGAGAGGGGCTGTGGGGGGAAGCCAAGAAGTTTTCCAAGGATAAAAAAACCCACTCTGTGTGAGAGAATACTCACAACCTTGTTAATATTTACAAACCAGTTGGGAGAAAAGAGGAGGGGGGAAGTACCAGCTTCTTAGGGTTTCCTAGGCTGCGAAACACAATGCCAGTGTCTGAGCAAGCTTCCCCCGTTTTGGAAAGTCAACTGCAGGCTGTTGGTTGCGGCTGCGTTTCGGCTAAGCCTTGCCCTGTTTTTTGTTTTTTTTTTTTTTTTTTTTTTTTTGTAATGGTTCTGCTTCTTCTGCTTCTCAGGGGCTGAGGAGATGGAGGCCAAGGTACTTGGGGTCTCCTGCTTTTCTGTGTGCTTGAATTCTCGGTGCGGTTTCCCGAATAGCTCCGGCCGCTCTGGGAACGGCTGGGCTTTGTCCCACCCCACATTCTTCACCAAATCTGCCACTTTGGCGTGAAACTACTTAGCGCCCTTTCAAAAGGATTTTGTTCCTTTCCCAATGAGCACTAAACAAACTCCCCCTGCCTGTCAAGGGCCGGATTGAGAACTGTTCCCCAAACCCGTATTCCCGATAGCTTGGGATGTGCTTTGTGCCCGGGGAGGCCGGGCCAAGCCTCACCGCTGGGGGCTCCTGGCTCTGGGCACCGCGCTAGGCCGGCCCTGCCACCGCCCCCCGCTCTCTTCTCGCCGCTGTCGCCCTCCCGAGAGCCGGCTGCCTGTATGCGCTGCCCTCGGCTGTCCCGGCGGGGATTTCAAGCGCCGCCAGCCCGAGCCGGCCCTCGGCCCCGCTGCGGCACTGCCGGGGCGCACCCCAGGACGGAGCGTCCCCCGTGTCCCGAGCCCATCGCTGTCGGGCCTCGGCCCCGGGCAGCCGTTCCGCACTTTTCCAGCGCTCAGAGAGCCCGCGCTGGGACCACCCGAATTCTTTAACCCTGAGAGGAGGCTGTTGTTCCCGCTCGTGGCTCTCGGCGCTGCTCCGGAGCACCTGGCTCCTGATCGGAGCCGGTTTCCCGGAGAGCTCTTTCCCCTCTGCCGCGCCGGTAAAC